TGTATGTCTGTATGTCTGTGTCTGTGCCTGTGTATGTGTGTGAGTGTGTATGTGTATGTGTGTGTGTATATGTATGTGTATGTGTCTGTGTCCGTGTCTGTGTATGTGTATGTGTATATGTTTGTGTATGTGTCTGTGTCCGTGACTGTGTATGTGTCTGTGTGGTATGATTTGAATATATGAGCACTGTGGCAAAGTCTGCTCTATCGCTAGTATCGTATTGAACCTCATTCTATCCCTTTCTGGGTTTAAATTATGTGTATGTGTATGTGTATGCGTCTGTGTCTGTGTCTGTGTCTGTGTCTGTGTCTGTGTCTGTGTCTGTGCATGTGTGTGTGTGTTTGTTTGTGTGTGTGTAGTATAATTTGGATATATGAGCACTGTGGCAAAGTCTGCTCTATCGCTAGTATCTTATTGAATCTTATTCTATCGCATTGTGGGTTCAAATATATATTTCTGAGATGCGAGTCTAAATTTAAATTCTGAATATATATACATAGCCCGAACTCCACAGTCGGCAAAGTGTAGGATCGGTTCAGCTGATGTGGACTAACCACTTGCGACCAAAGATCAACACCAGTCCATTCACCGCCGCAGAGGACAATGCGCTGCTCTCCGTTAATCTCAAGGTGAATATATACATGTACTGACCACCATCTCATCTATTTGTATCATGGCGAATATCACCACCATACCGTTCATCACCGTTGTGTTGTGTATTACCAGTATGTCGTTAGTTCGACATTGTCATGTCTTGCCATCGCGCCGTCCAGCGCCACCGCTTCGTACATTACTATTGTGTCGTTTTTTGCCACCATGCCGTTTATTGCTCTTCACTTAATACCGCCGTAGCGCTTTCACCCCAATGTCATTATATTGTTTACTACCACCCTGTCGTTCTTTACTGCCGTATTGTTGGTTATATAGTGAGAGACTGGCGTCTCATATTTCCTATTCCAAATCAATACGTACAGCTCAAAGAAAACAATCAGCGGCCGGATTGGACTGCGATCGCTTTGCAATTGAACACCAACCGCACCGCGTTGGCCTGCTTTCAGCGGTAAGTATATGAGTGTCTAACTCGTTTCACGTTGGAGTGTCCAAATCGCAAACATGTGTATATTACATCAATACCACCACATGGTACGTATACCTATATACATATATCACGCCGGAAGTATGACATTCAAACAGTGGGAAAAGGGAATCCAACAAGTTTTATGTACACATTTATGTGAGTGTTAGCAGTTAGCAAGTACGCACGTTAATATATGAGCATGCATACATAGGTGCATGCATATATATACATATATATATATATATATATATATACATTGTGAACTGCAGGTATCAGCGCAGTATCAACCCATCGCTTATCCGTAGCCGTTGGACCAAAGAGGAGGACGCACGCCTCAAAGAGCTCATGCGCCTGCACGAGCACGACGACAACAAATGGTCTGAGGTGGCTATGGGCATGGAGGGTAGAACTAATCAACAGGTAAGTGTTTCATCTATATATAGAATGTGTTTATACATACGTGTATACTCGTGTATGGCGAGATGAACAATTTTTCGCAGCCATGTCAGATGGTGGATTATATAGATACTGGCCGGGAGGGCTTCTAAGATTCACGAGTAACCACGATTAATAGTTTGAGGTGGCGATGCACGTGGATGGTACAAATATCTTACATGCCTATATGCATACTCGAATATTGAAATGCGCATATGCTTGTATAAACCTTCATATATAACTGCATAGGATTTCATGTGCATTTATGCAGTTTGCGGTGGAGTATTCTTACCTTCGTGTCGTGCGTTTATACTACCAGATTCTCTCTTTCGAGTAGCAACCTGCAGCTGATTTTAGCCGCTAATGGGCAAACGCAGTAATTTAATTTGTAAAATGTACGGATGTACATACTCGCATAAAATTATATACATACACCTGTTGAAGTATAAAGTAGTCATACATGTGTAAAATAGTCTGCAACATGGAAATTCGGGTTCTGAGATTCCTTTATTATTACATAGCATGTATAACTCCAGGTCAACTTACGCCGAGGGAGGTATGTCAGGATCGTATTGTCCAATCAAGCGTATCCATATCCACGTTTACACTAATACACTCCTAGATAATAACCCATATTTATACTTGTTCATGTTAAGGTCATGAATCGCTGGGAGAAGTCGCTGAAACCAGGGCAGAGTAAAGGTAGATGGAAAGCTGCAGAGACCGAGGCTCTGCGTAAGGCCGTGGAGCACTTCGGTGTGGGCGATTGGAAGAATATACGCACTATGGTCCCTGGTATGCGTGTTCGTCTCGTCTTATGTATATATTTTGCTACATTTATACATAATATAAATATATGTACTAAAAAGTATATTTATATATT